GCTTTTAAAAATCTCACTTGTAGTGTATACAGGGCGTAAACTTAAAGCCGGTTTGTTTCAGCCTTACATTATTTCATTTACTGTGTGATGCTTTTTGGAGAGATTTTTGTCATTCATTCGCTTTGTGTAATTTAAGTTGCTGTTGGTATTAGTTACCTGGTCCAAGTCACATGACAAGCAGTGATACTGATAATAGGATAGGTATTCTAAAATTCAATAAAATAAATAGTGATAGTCACCTGCAATTTGGTCTTTAAAGGCATGCATCAAATTAACAAATGCCAGTGGGATAATTTCGAATAGGATTGTGAAACCTTCTTGGAAAGCTATCTTCACTCAGAAAACTTGGTCCTCAAGGACTCAATTACAGATTTTTTAAAAAAAAACCCAGAGTAGTTTTAAAAGGCAATATAGACATCTAGAAAACTCATGTTCAAAGTTGGGGTCAACAACTAATTGACACAAGTGGGAGTTAAACAGGCTTAATGGACCCTTTGGTTTTTGATCAGACACAATGATGGTCTCTTATTGTGGTGGGGTGCTGTAACATTTTAACCATTTCAGTTTACCTTGTTTTGTTTTCTTATAGCTGAACTTGATACTTTATATTTTAATGCATTTGGTGGTTGGGCTGTGCCAAACAAAAGGTGATTGACTTTTTGTCATTGTTCTTGTAGGCCCTTTTAAAAGGGGGCAATGTCAAATTAAAAAATGCATTTAATAAATCAAATCCCCTTACCTGTATCACTAATACAACAGTTAAAGAAATGAACTTTATTCCATTATTCTTTACTTACCATTTACATTGTAGTAGCACCCAGAGGCTTCAATCAGAATCAAGGCCCCATTGTAGTAGATGCTGTAGAGACGCACAATAAGATATAGACATTTCCCCAAAAGACTTAAAATCTAAGAAGACAAGCAACATAAGAAGCATGTATGGAGACAGGACTATAATCCGTAGGGTTGCCAACTTTCTAATCGCACAAAACCGAACACCCTAGCCCCGCCCCTTCCCCGAGGCCATCTCCTGCTCACTACATTCTCCCTCACTCACTTTCACTGGGCTGGGGCAGGGGATTGGGGTATGGGAGGGGGTGAGGGATCTAACTGGGGGTGCAGGCTTTGGTGTGGGCCAGAAATGAAAGGTTCAGGGTGCGGGAGGGGGTGTGGGCTCTGGGCTGGGGATGAGGGGTTTGGGGTGCAGGAGGGGGCTCCGAGGCTGGGGGGGGTGGGGCCGAGGGATTTGG